ATGATGACGATCGGCTCATAATCACCCCTCAGGAGAAAGCAAATGCGATTGGTGAGCATATTGCCAAATCGCACTTGCTTGGCTCCAACATCCAAAGTCCGCTCGAAGTTCAGGTTGAGCAATGCGTACTCAACCTTGATTCCTCCCCTTGTGCCATCCCTCCGGAGGATAGAATCACAGTGGAACAGATTTGCTCAGCGCTGAAATGCACCAAAAACATGAAGGCCCCCGGGTTTGACGGAATATTCAACCTAGTGTTGAAAAATCTCAGCATGAAGGTTCACTCTCTGCTGGCTGCTGCCTTCAACAGATGCTTGGAACTGCACTACTTTCCAAGTATCTGGAAGACAGCGAAAATCATACCTATCCGCAAACCCGGGAAGGACCCAACGCTAGCTTCAAGCTACAGACCAATCAGCCTCCTTTCAGCGCTGAGCAAATTGTTCGAGAAACTCATTCTCAATCGTTTGCTCAAGTTTGTCTTGGAAAATAACATTCTCCTTCCGGAACAGTTTGGGTTCAGAAAGGGGCACTCCACCAATCACCAGCTAGTGCGGGTGATGAATAACATCCGAAGTAACAAAGCTGTATCCAAGTCCACAGCCATGGCATTGTTAGACGTTGAGAAAGCGTTTGATAATGTCTGGCACAATGGGCTTGTATACAAGCTTTGTAACTTCAACTTTCCATTACATCTGGTTAAAATCACCCGTAGCTACCTCCAGCAAAGGTCGTTTAAGGTATCGTTGAATGGTTGTCTTTCCGACACGTTTTCCATCCCCGCAGGAGTCCCGCAAGGCAGTCTGCTGGGACCCTTGCTTTACAGCATTTACACTTCCGACATTCCTCCCCTTGGAGACGGTTGCGTGTTTTTCCTGTTCGCAGATGATACCGCAATAGCCGTCAAAGGAAGGATGCCTCGCGAAATAACGAACAAACTTCAACGATGCCTTAACGCCTTTGCTGATTATGCCAACACGTGGAAAATCAAAATCAATGCTTCCAAAACACAAACAATCATGTTCCTCCATCGGCAATCACCCAAACTAAAACCGGCTCCCTCTTGTACTGTAATCATAAATGGCACAAGGGTTGAGTGGTCCGCCGAAGTAACCTATCTCGGGATGTTGTTTGACGAAAAGCTCCTATTCCGCTCGCATGTGGAGAAAACCGTAGTCAAGTGTTCCGCCTTGGTTAGGAGTCTGTATCCGCTGATTTGCCGCAGATCCCGCCTCTCAAGGGTGAACAAACTGGCCGTCTACAAACAAATCGTAGCACCTGCGATCCTCTACGCAGCTCCGGTGTGGGAATCATGTGCACAGACTCACAGGAACAAAATCCAGGTAGCTCAGAATAGAGTGCTGAGGATGGTTCTTGATCGTCCTTTCGACACTAGAATAACAAATTTACATGAAGAGGCAGGCATTGCCAAAATAGATTCCAAAATTAACGAAATTAAGACAAAATTTGCACAAAAATGTAATTTATCAGAACATGCTTTGATAAGCAATTTGTATATAGTAGGTTAGGTGTACATAGTAGTTGTAGGTTAGTTGTAGTTGTAAATAGTAGTTATAAGTAGTCTCCTTTTTCAAATTTTCAAACAAGCCAATCCCACCAAGGTGGTCATTCTCTAAAACAGGCCTGATAGGACTAGGAACTGTAAATAATAATTAAAATCTCAAATGTACCAAAGTTGAAAAGACGCATCTGTGTCACTTAACAAATTCATACATGTAAACCACACAATCACAAGAAATAAAGATCATTTAAATGGCAAAAAAAAAAATGCTTTTGCTCATTTTCGCTTCGGACGGCGTGGCACTTGGTCCCAGTGATGCCACATATACAGATTTATCTGTAATGATACAATTTTTTTTTCAATATTTTGATACAGATATCTGTATATGCAGATTACAGATTTTTGAAAAATATACAGATTTTTCAGATTTTTCAAATAAATGTATAAATAAATTTCATATATTTTTTTTTATATTTATTATTTACGATAAATAATTATTTTTTCCCTTCTAAGCAACTTGAATTCAATCTGATCATCAAATCCAAATCGATTTTTCACTAAATGAATATTATTATTTTAGCTGCGAATTGCCTTGGAATCTTTCGAATGGACTTATGATGTTCAGATGTTCTGATGTCTCGTTATAAGGGATTTTAGTTTCTCTTTCTATTTGTTTAATTAATCATATCACATGGTTACAGATATGAAGGTTAATTAAATATATTTTTCGTCAAATCGATAAACAAGCCATTTTAGAAAACCAACCAAGGGGTTGATTAAAGTTTGTGAGTCGAAGAGTCAACTTGATATTTTTATAATTGAAAAGCATACTTATAGAAATAAAGATTATTGCATGCCATTCGACTAAACTTCCAGTAAAAGTTCTGTGTTATGTCCAATGTCCAGATAAAGGTTTTCGTAACCTCAGACAAAAACAAAATCAAATTCTAGGGATTTTTGATAGGGGAAATGTTTGCTTCAGCAATACCTTAACTTCGTCAGGGGGGTAAACAAGGTCTTTGAGAGCTTAATTTTGGCATGTGGATACATTGTGTTTTAGAGCATCTATTGGCCAAATTTGAGTGCTCTAGAACTTTGTTTACCCTGCTGACGATAATACGTTAAGGTATTGCCGAAGCCGACATTTCCCTTGGGTAATTCATTACGAAAATTTTCACTGTAGAAGAGATACAAAACACATCAAGATTGTGGGATTTCAAGATTTTAAAAATAGACAAATTCTTTAGAAAGCAAACTTCATTAAAATGCTACGAAATTCGCAAAACTTCTATAAAGTTTGCCGCACTTGTATTTCTGAAGAGGCCTGGCCCCCTTGTCACCCCCATTAGCTATGCCAATGAAACTTTAGTAATTTTTTATGATTCTAAACTTAGAACAAACTGAACTATTTTGAACTATGAATTTGCTCAATGGAGATTTACGTAAATCCGCACTGAGACCATAAAACGGAAATTATACAGATTTTTGTGAGCAAGATTTTTAAAAAGATTTTTTGCGATGAAAATACAGATCTAAATTCGAAAAATGTGGCATCACTGCTTGGTCCTGCAGTAAGCAGGACCAAATCAGCGGCTAAAGGTGGATCACGGCGTGACCACAATAATGATGTAAACCCCCTCCCCCTTTCACAACAACCTCTCCCCCTCCCCCTTCACAACAATCTCTCCCCCTCCCCCCTTCACAACAATCTCTCCCCCTCCCCCCTTCACAACAATCTCTCCCCTCCCTCAACAACCTCTCCTAACCCCCCACCACCACTCATCAACAACCTTTCCTAAACCCCCTCCCCCACCCCTCAAATACCGCTCCTAACAAATCAATATCTATGTGTCGGCCACATACTTACAATATGTACATATAAAAACCATGCGTGACCACACATACTATTCATTTGCGTGTAAATTTCATGTGTACTTCTGAGTGGATTCTGTTTATGTGTGTGTCAAATGAAAATCATGTAGAATTTCACATGGATATTTGTCAAGAAAAATGTGTAAATTGTTTTGAGTCAACCATAACCGAAACATTGAAATACTTGAAAATTTTAAGATAAAGTATAATAGTCAAAAATGCATGAAAAACATCAATTTTGTGTGGTTCTACGTCATACTGCGGTCGTGTCTAGGACACAACCCTTTACTTTTTTGCTTTTGCTTTAAATTGATGAATCTACGTTACGGTCGGCCAGCAGATGGAAATGATGTGAAAATGATAATGACGTTTTGCTAGCTGTCAAATAGTATGGAATATTTTTTAGTACATCATCACTTTTGTGGTTTTGGATTTCAAACCTAGGTGTCGCATGCACTGGTGCAGTTTCGCGTATATTCATCAATTAACCATTTTATTCGAGCACTTAAAATGACGTTTACTACCACTCGAACTTTGAAATAAAACATTATTTTGAGATTTTTTCTTCTAGAACCACGAGAGAAGTAGCCAACATTTGTGCGTTTCATAAAAAAATATAAATTAGTTGATTCAGTTTTGTGAAATCGCTGGTAGAAAGTCACGCCAAAACTGCTTGACAAAGTGGTCAATTGCTGCAGCTTCCTGTAAGCTGCCTTAAGAAAATAATATGTTGCTCACATTCGAAAAAATAAATATCTATTTTCACCGCAAATAATTCACAAACCTACCTGTGGAAAGTGTTCTATTTTATCGTTGTTTTATCTATTTTGCTTCAGAATTATTCGAAAAGTAAACGAGTAGGTATTGCACTGTTGATCTCAACCTATCACAACAATTAAAATTTCAATAAAATTTTCTTTTCAGCAAGAAATCCAAACTCGTAACATAATTTACGTTTGTCCCATCATTGTCTTCAAAAAGTCACCACGAAAACTCGCCAGAATGGGAGAGTGAGAACCGGCCACTCACTTAACTGTGGGCAGGAGTACGCTATTTCAAAACTCCCAAGTTTGGGTATAATCACTCACATCGGTCAAAACTGAACCTACCCCAAAAATGGGTAAACTATGTCGGGAGTGACATATTGACAAATGAACAACAGCATGTCGATGTTGTGTATTTGTCAACTTGTCACTCCCAACATAGTTTACCTATTTAGTTTTGAACCATCTGCGCGGATTCTACCCAAACTGGTGAGTTCTAAATACCCGTGTGTTTGCTGTATTTTGAAGAGGTTCGTGGTGAGTGATTCACTCAATTATTTTCGGGGATGTTTTTGTTTTGCTGCCCTCTCACTCCGAACAACGAAGCTTGAAGGGGTTTTGTGTTTGCAGGTTACTGTTGCTTTCTCACTCGATCTACCTACCACCTTTTTCGAAGCGAACGGGAACTCACTCAATCGAAGCCCGTTCAGTTTTGATTTGGCTCTCGCTTTGGGAAGAGAAGAAGCTAACAGCACGCGAGGAAAGTGTTTGCATCGGGAAGTTTGCATCGGGAAGTTTGCAGCGGTGGGAAAGGCGAGGCTGAGACATCGTTTTTTTTTTTTATTTTTCTACATATAATACGTGTGTTGTGTTACAAAACGAAGACGAAGAAGAGCGGAGCGGAAGAGAGATAATTTTTCAGCTGTTTGTCAGTTCACGACTCATTTGGCAAAGTCCTATCGAATCGAATTGTGCGCTGTGCTGTGTGCCCGTGGCCTGCAGAAGCGGATTTTAGTGGATTGCTAGTGCCCTGGAAGTTGCTGGTAAGTGGAGTTTTGCTTGCCTTTTTCAGTGGGCGATGGGTATTTGATGGGAGATAGTGTGTAGATTCGAAGATTTAGATTTTCTAAAAAATTTGAGGGTTTTTTTTCTTGCATGTTCGATATTTTTCGCCTTTCCTCTCATAACTTCTCTCTGCTAGCTGGTCGTCGAACAAAGAGCGAGCGAAAGAGATGGAGTCGGGATAGGGCCGATCGAACGTGGGAGTGAGATGGATGTAAGTTTATTTTTCTGTGCAGCAATTTTGTGTGCGAGCGCGAGGCGATTGATCACTGCGGGTGGGGTATAGACTTCGGGTAAAGGGGAGGTCAGTAACAGCAGTGCTGCCAGATTTGCTTCAATAATTTTAGGTGTTTTTAGAGTGGTTAGAAATCCGAGGAAAATTGTAACAAACTTTACAAGGCGATACACCCGCTAGTGTACGTGCGTTAAACGTTACTAATCTCTCGGAATGCCTAAGTATTAGGCATTCTTATTACATTACTTATTATTTACTCTATTCTTGCACTCACACTTAAGCATTTAGACAAACGTCAGAGTAGTCAGACGTTTGTGAAATGCTTAAGTAGGGTTAACTACTTCATTCCCGGCCTATCAAGAGTTTTAAATTAGCACCAAATGGAATGTTATTATTACAGATGACTTCCAAATTTATTTACCTTTCCATATGTACCGTTAGCTCTGATAAGGGGTCGCGAAATATTTGTTTATTGTTGAAAATGCAAAACTGCTTCTGGCGGCTCAACTTGACCTACGGATTGTCTATTGGCCTATTAGCCATTGAAACGCCATTGGGATTCTCTTTGGCCTATCGAACGGAAAGAAAAGTGAATTCGCGTGCGCCTTTTGTATTCGAGATCTTATTTTGCGTTCTTCAACACTTCGTCTTGCAGCTATTGAATACAAGCATCGTAGCATCTGTTCGATAGGCCCAAAACGGGCGATTATTCTGAAGAACTGAAGTGCAGAACTTCGGGGAAAATTATAAGTATTACTACAAGAAAACCTTTGAATTTTCCCAAAGTTCTGCACTAATACCACAGACAAACAGACGTAACTCTTTGAAAAAGTTTTTCTTGAAAACATAGTATCTCAAAACATAGGACCTCAGTAGCGACATCTTTCAGGCTTCTCGCGGAAAACAAGCTTGCTCGCTAACTCGCAAACAATATTGCATAAAAGTTCTATAGAATGTATAGAAACGTCAAATTGATTCGATGCCAGCGCTGCGGCGAGTAGTTCGCGGAACTGATAATATTCAAATCAACCGTTAAATGCGTGAACGAAGATACACAATGAAGAGTTCCGTCTGTTTGTCTGTGCTAATACTATAAGTCTATAGACTTCTCTGAATGCCCAAATCTTAATCTTAACATCTTATAGCATATTAGCAACCGGTGGAAACTAACGATTATAAATTGGCTCACTACTTGACTAGCCTATTGGTCCCAAGTACATCCATAGGCGTGCCCCATTTGACAATTTCCAGGATTTTCACATTTCTTAAGGATTTTCTTAGGATCATTTCAAATTGTCTTTAGAATTACTTTTACTTTTAGTATTTCTCTCAATAATCTTATGGTTTTGTCCGGTAATCTCTAGAATTTTTTTTCTATATACATCGGAATTTCGTGCAAAACAATTTTAGAATTCGCTCCAGAAAACTTTTTAAATTAACTCGATTAGGTCGAGTTTCGAACGCCTTTGAATACGGTTGTGTATTAAGTGTGTTCTCTGTTTTGTGCGTGCATTCGCTTTCATAGTTTTTTGCTGCATTTGCCGGATTAGCGGTGGCACTCTGCCTCCCGGACGGTTATACGTGTGTGAGTGGTGGTTTTCTCGCTTTGCGAGAAGTTTTACAATCGAGAAAGAAAACATGATTCATCATGTTTGCAAGCAACAGAAGATTTAACGCTATCCCAAAAGTTCATCCAAAGACACCACGAGCATAAATTAAATTTTATAGCAATTATGCTCCCAACGAAAACATATAAATAATATTATTCAATTGTAACTGGAAGCGTTTGGTACGAGAGGTCCACGCTTTCTTCCTTTCCCTTGATCTCAGGTTGTGGAGTGGTTTCAGATATTCATTTCTGACATCACTTGACTCCTTGAAATCCTCTCTGCGGCACATGCTGCGCAGTTGGCCGGGCCGTTGACAAGAAAAATGACGGATTCGTGAAGCCGTCATTTTCCAGGATGCTTTCAAAGTATTGGCTGCGTTAGTGTGAGATTAGATTAGATTAGATTAGAGAGAAAACTTTTTAAATTAACTCTACGTTTATCTTTGTATTCTAAAAAATTCTCGCGAGAAATTGTTTTAATTTTTCTCTATTATCTTCATTACAAATTTCTTGGAATATTCCTGGAAATCCTAAATATTATGCCATTTAGAATTTAGAAAAGTGTTATCGGAAAATTTTCTTGGGTTTCACCTGAGAATTCTATAGCAATATTTCTCAAAATGCTCTTCAGCATGATCTCTTGGAAACTCTCTTTATAATTCCCATGGAAATTTCTTCACAATCTTCAATATGCTCCAAATTTCCAGTGAATCTTCATCTTCGTCACGCCTTCTATACAGAATGGGTCTAGTCAGCAGAGGAGGACATATGGCTCTTAAAATACTATCCCCAATCTACAACCTACAAGACAAGCACTGAACAGACAAGACTCCTTTTTCCGAAGGAAGAAAATCTGTACCGCGTAAACGACACACGGAAGATCTACGAGAAGCTAAATAGTTCGCGCAAAGGCTACGTGCCGCAAGCCGATATGTGCAAGGACTTGGACGGTAACCTTCTCACGAACGAAAGGTGGAAGCAGTACTATGACAAGCACCTCCACGGTGATGCAGCAAAAAACGAAAGTGGCACAGCAACAGACCTTGGAGCACGCGTAGAAGACGACAGTCTACCGGCACCTGATCTTCAAGAAGTTGAGGAGGACATCTGTCGGCTGAAGAACCACAAAGCAACTGGTGTAGATCGACTACCCAGTGAGCTATTCAAATACGGTGGTGAAGCACTGGCTAGAGCGCTGCACTGGGTGGTTGCCAAGATTTGGGAGGAGGAGATTTTACCGGAGGAGTGGATGGAAGGTGTCGTATGCCCAATCTACAAACAGAGTGACAAGTTGGATTGCTGCAACTACCGCGCGATCACACTGCTGAGCGCCGCCGACAAGGTACTCTCCGAAATTCTATGCCGCCGCATGTCACCATTTGCAAGAGAGTTCGTAGGGGCAATACCAGGCGCTACCACAGACCAAATTTTCGCGCAGGTTCTGCAAAAATGCCGCGAATACAACGTGCCCACACATAATTTGTTCATCGGTTTCAAATCCTTATACGACACAATCGATCGAGATCAGCTATGGCAGATTATGCACGAGTACGGATATCCGGATCGAGTGATGTGCATTGTTCGAGTATCGGGAACACTCTCGGTTCCCTTTGAATCTCGAAGGGGGTTACGGCAAGGTGATGCACTTTCTTGTCTGCTATTCAACATCGCGTTAGAAGGTGTGATCAGAAGAGCTGGGATAGACACGAGTGGCTCGATCTTCAGGAAGTCCCTCCAGCTTCTTGGCTTCGCCGATGACATCGACATCATGGCACGGAACTTTGAGACGATGGCGGAAACGAACATCAGACTGAAGGCTGAAGCTAGGCGGATTGGACTTGCCATCAACGCATCGAAGATAAAATACATGAAAGGAAGAGGTTCTAGGGAAGACCATGTAAGCCTCCCACCCCGAGTTCAGATTCACGGTGACGGAATCGAGGTGGTCGATGAGTTCGTGTATTTGGGCTCACTGGTGACTGCCGAAAATGATACCAGCAGAGAATTTCAAAGACACATTATGGCAGGGAATCGTGCCTACTTTGGACTCCGGAGGACGCTCCGGTCGAATAAAATTCGCCGCCGCACGAAGTTGACTGTCTACAAGACGCTGATTAGACCGGTGGTCCTCTACGGTCATGAGACTTGGACTATGCTCGTGGAGGACCAACGCGCCCTTGCTGTTTTCGAACGGAAGGTGTTGCGTACCATCTACGGTGGAGTGTAGATGGATGACGGAACGTGGAGGAAGCGAATGAACCACGAATTGCACCAGCTGCTGGGTGCACATTGCGAAAATTGGGCGACTACGGTGGGCTGGGCACGTCGTAAGAATGCCGCACGACGACCCTGCGGTGCTCGAAAGCGACCCAACAGGAACAAGAAGAATAGGCGCGCAGCGGGCATGGTGGATCGACCAAGTAGAAGGCGACCTGCGGACCCTTCGTAGACTACGAGGCTGGCGAAGTGTGGTCATGGATCTAGTAGAGTGGAAACGACTTCTTCGGACAGCAGAGGACAACAAGGCCTTAACCTGATTGGTAAGGTAAGGTAATCTACAATCGCATCCGGAGCTTTCGTTACCAGCCCCATGTTCGCTACAACGGCCGAGGCTGTCGTGTTACCGTTCGACTTGCTGGTCCTACAGTCGTTCGCACGACAAACGATTCGCCTTCTGGAGAAAACTAGCGATGCTTCCGATCTCCCAGTCGTCCAAAAAACATCAGAGCTTTTCACTGAAAAAAAAAACCAATGCAACTATCCCCAAAATCTGCCAAAAAGTATACTAGGGCTTGGGACCCCCCAGAAAAAGTTCGTCATATAGTATAAGAGGTAACCGAGCGACGTTTTCAGGGACACTGACGAATCCAAAGGTGACGATACAGTCGGCGCAGGCCTTTTTGGAATAGGCGTCACCAAATCCTAAACCCTGTCAAGACACTGCAGCGTCTTCTCAGCAGAAGCTTACGCCCTCAACCTAGCACTCAACATTTCACGCAAAACGCAACTAACCATTGTAACGGACTCTGCCACTTGTTTCTCTGCGCTGGAGATGGGTAGATCCAAACACCCATGGATCCAATGAATCAAGGCGGCAATGTAATCCAAAAACGTAGATCCCCGGCCACGCAGGCATCCAAGGAAATGTTACAGCAGACCGTCTTGCAGGTGAAGCTAGAAACAACGGTCCATATGATATCCAAATACCAGCCATGGACGCGATAAGGCCAGTCAAACGTGCTATACGACAAGGATGGGACCATCTTTGGCATTCATCACGGGATGTTAAGCTCCGTGAGATAAAATTTACCACTAATCCATGGATGACATGGAAATCCAGTAGACCAACGGATCCTAAATCGGTTAAGGATCGGACATACCAGGCTTACCCACGAGTTCCTGATCAAAAGAACAGACCCACCCGTGTATGTTTCTTGTCAGCAAACCCCAATAAACAAATACCAGAAAATCGATGAAGAGAATCAATCAAAGCATATAGGACCTTTTGAAATGTTCATCTAGATATGCATTGATTGCCCGTAACTATGCGATGTATTCATTTTTATATTTTGCATCACTTGAACGATTAACGAAATGTCCCTAGTACCGACCTATCGTGGTCTTTCGCCAAGCTTCCGTTCATGCCCCTAGGCACAGACCCTTCCACCAAATGTCGTGGCGCACATTTCTCGGATTCAAAATAGGAATCTCTGTAACAACCCCGAAAGTATTTTCAACAGATTGTATAGTTTGATATAATAAAAAAAAAACCCCTTTTGATCCCTGTTCCGCTTTTACTCCACAGACCTGTCCGCGACGCATTGGCATCACTGCAGAAGCAAACCATCAACATCAACAACAGCAACAATAACACCACCAGAAGCAGTAGCTCCTAGGTATATCACTCACTCTCCGTGTTGTTTGTGCTGATTTCGGGTGGATAGGGTGAGCAAGCGGAGGAACGATACTGGTGCTGAGGTTGGTTGTTGTTACCATCAGAGTGAGAGCAGTGTTTTCGTGCGCAGAAGGAAACTTCGTTCTGGCCCGTCGTGGTGCGTGGTATCTACCTACGACAACGACGACGACATCATCATTCGCATTCAAGAGACGACAGCCAGCGACGACATAGTAGAGCAGAGCAATAATTGGCCTAGTGCAGTTGGCGGAGAAGTGTGTTTGCAACATCCGGAATCGGAACTTGTGGAGATTGGAAAATCACAAAAACAACGCAAGACATCGGCTCTTGATTCGAACCAGGATCCCCGGAAGAACCAGGTACCTAAAATGCTACGAAATACGTTTTAATTCTCCGCCAGTTTTCGATGGTTGGTTCGCTCGATAGAGCAAACGAGCCCCATGAGCATAGTGAGCGCACCAAATTCAGCAGTGTGTTCATGTATGGGTGTGTGTGTGTGTAAGTGTATGTATGTTTCTAATTGTTTTCGTTCGTCTCGAGTGTGGTGGACCACGAAAAGTAGAGATTGTGATATTTTCTTGCGATTGAACGCATATATAAACGACGTTACATCAGGTTCAGGTTCACGTTCAGCTTCGAGAAGAGCTGATTACTTAATCTGGCGGCGATTTAACCAAAAAAAAAAAGTTTGTTCGGACTCTGCTGCTGCTGCTGCTTCTGCTGCAATCGAAGAGAGGACGTGTCTGCCTTTTCCTTCGATTGCGTTGACAGGTAGGAAAAGGAAGGACGACGGCCTGAGGTTTTGGGAGCGAAGGGAGGCAACATTGTGTACAGGAATGGAACAGTGAAGGCTCGATTTCACATTCGACGTATTTGTATCGATTCGAGGCGAGCGGAAAATCGGTGTCAGTTGATTCTAATTGAGTCAATGCGTCTGAAAAACTAGTGTTCTTCGTAGTACTGCACCGAACGGTCGAATATCGAGGATTATGCTTACAAAATTTCGCTCAATTGTAAAGGACGAATACCAGCAAAAATTTACATTTAAACACCAAATACCTGACCGAATAGTAATTTTCGGTTCAGCTCTAGTTCTTTGGGCTATTGTTGAAACTTAGAAACTGTGGGCGGTGGGTGGGTGGAGTAGCAGAAATGTCGACTATCTTTGTTGTGGCAATGCTATGCGCATTATCCTTTGTTTGTGGTGTATGTTATCGTCTAGACGTCGAGTTTCCTCCTAATCAAATTTCTTTGTTGGCGGCGCGAAATTTCTAGCTTTGAAGTTTATTTGCAAATCATCTCCTTAAGTATCTGCTTTTTTTCCTAATAGCTTCAAACGATTTAGCACATAGTGACCAACATGACGGAAATAGACTGCAACTGTAACCGATGCTGGTCAGCTACAGCACAAGGAGAATTGTTACAGTCAACTGAATGCCTTCGTACATGAGGTTCCAAAGGGTAACATCAAGATCTAATTTGGCGACTTGGAATGCGAAGACTCGAACAGATGACCGAAAATAATAATACTGTTTGTGACCCGCGGTGGACACACTATAAAATCAACCACATCTGCATCAGTTTAAAATGGAGACGGAGCCTTATTGATGTCTTCTAATCGGTGAGATCCATCTATGCATTGCACGGATCTAGCGACGGGAGGAGAGATTCAAACGGCCATTCAACGAAACCACGACTAGACGATCATGAAGTGGTTGAAGCACCAACAATCTTGGTGAGCGAAGAGAAGCAAAAGAAAATCAGAGGAGCTTAGACCCAAACCCGTCAACGATATTTGACACTAGATGAGCAAGTCGGCTGCTGTTCGAGAAGGTCGTAGGTGCAACAAGCGGCGATATTAGTCTTCTCTACAATATCTAACGTAAAGGCACATGTAAAAGACGCTACTAGGCAACCGCTTAACGACCCCACTGCCCAGCTGAATCGTTGGATTGAGCAATTCGAACCATCTATTCATCTTGCGACAATTAACCAAACATCAACATCTCGGCATGGTCAGTGTTGCGTCGGTCGGATTAAAAAGCCCGCACTGATTTTGATAGCGGTTTTATTATCGTTACAGCTTCAAAGCTAGGGAGGGTTACAATTAGTTTAAGTTAATATAATTCTTCAACAGTACTTACTAATCAGTGGCCTTTCGTGATCTACGGCCTTTTATCCGAATTTAGGTTAAGTTAGGTTAGGTCTCACTGAACTAGGAATCAATATTTTTAAGGCAATTAATGTTAGTCTACATAAGGAAATTTTAGTTATAAACAAGTTACCTTTATCCCTACTTTAGCTCAATATAGTTTAATTATTGTAGTAATAGGAAAACAAATTTTATTTTTAGGAAAATCTTGCGTGTCCACTGCTTGCTTGCACTGCCTTTTATTCTCCTTTTTCCGGAAGTCCGCTCCTTCGATCGTGTTGCCAGACGCTTACTCGCTGACACTGACAGCTTCGACCGTTGCGCTACACCCTTCAGGAACGTCCGTGATCAGGGTGGCCAGCTCGTCGTCTTTGGCGCCAACAGTCTCCCCCGGGTGTAGTCCGGAGCTCTCCGGAACTCCACCATTCTCCTTCACGTCGAGCAATGCCAACCGAGATACCGGCCGCACTGGCGTCTTCGTCCCGATCCTGACGACAGCTTGTCGGTTTCGACCACCTGCTCCCGGGATCATCCTAATGATTCACCCGCGCTCCCATCCATTCCGCTTCGTCGGTTCTGCCACCATCACTAAATCGCCTGGCTTCGGTTGCCGACGGATTACCGGCAAATACTCCATTAACCATCGCTTCCAGAATGTGTCCAGTTGCTGCTGAATCAACTTCCAGGAAACACCCAGGAGTTGACCGCGGGCCAGATGGCTAAATGGTTGCGAAACGGTTTCTTCCAAATTGTCTTGCTGCTTCTCCCCGTTTGAGCTTAGCAGCAGGAAATGGTTCGGTGTTAGGGCCTCTGCTTCCTCGGACTCAAGTGGCAAGTACGTCAGAGGCCTTGAATTCACAATCATTTCAACCTCCACGACCAATGTCTGGAGCCCCTCGTCGTCAAGCTTCCCCTCGGAGTACGCTTCTCCCATGGCAGATTTTACGGATCGTACTAGGCGTTCCCACGCTCCGCCCATATGTGGTGCTCCTGGCGGGATGAAGGTCCACTTGGTGTTGGCACTGGTAAACTTTTCGGACAGTTCCTGGCTTATCTGATGTTGTAGTACACGTTCGGCTCCCTGAAAGTTTGTGCCGTTATCACTAAAAAACTCGGCTGGCGGTCCGCGACGGCCTACAAATCGACGGACGCATGAGATGAACGACTCCGTCGATAGTGCATACGCAATCTCTAGATGTACGGCCCCAGATGTACAGTGCAACCCAGCGTTTGACAGTAGATCTTCCCAGCTTCACAAGCAGCGGTCCGAAATATGTAATCCACTCCGGTGTAAGTGAAGGCTCGTTCATGATGGGCTAGGCGAGCTTGAGGGAGCGGTGCCATCGAAGGAACTGCTGGTCGAGCCCGATGAATTTTGCAGGGTATGCAATCGCGACTCACCTTCTTAACGACCACCCGCAGCCTTGGAATCGCGTACCGCTGGCGGACTTCATTCACTACCGTTTCAGAGTTTCCATGACGGTAGTAGCGATGGTATCGATGCACCAGAAGCTCTGTGACTCGATGTTTATTCGGAAGGATCACTGGATGACACGCGTTGTAAGAAACGTCCTTGGCGGCTCCAATACGACCCTGTTCCCGAAGCAAGCCTTGCTTATCCATAATCGGCATTAGCGAATAGATAGCGCTGGATTTCCCGATGACCTTCTGACCGCTTTCATTGGGCAGTTTGCTTGACAGTGCTGCAACTTCATCCGGATAGGTTTCTCGCTGCACCAGCTTGAGTATGATCTCTTCGGCTACCTGTAATTCTGACTGTTGCAGATGTCCTGTGAACCTCGGCAGTTTACCGGTCGCATTGTGCAGAAACCATAGAACATAAGCTGTCACACGTTGCAATCTGTCCCAGGAGGAGAAACGGTTAAAGTCTATGATTGGTTCGAAGGAGCAATGGTGCAGGACTGATGCACGCATTTCTTCCGTGGTTGTCGATGTCGCTTCCTTGGAGCGGGGCCATTCTTCTTCTGGAACTTTTAGAAAGGTTGGTCCGTGGAACCATTTGCTCTCGTGGTCGAAGCAAGGTCCGCTTCCCCATTTCGTCGCTTCGTCCGCGGGATTAGACTTTGAAGGTACCCACCGCCACTCACTCGCTGTGGTGTGCTCCAGTATCTCGCCCACTCTGCAGGAAACAAACTGTCCATAGTTACGCGGATCGGATTTAATCCAGGCTAGCGCAGTTCTGAAATCCGTCCAATAGATTACCTTCGACACAGACACATCATGATTTTCTCGAACGAACTTTGACCATCGCACTCCCAAAACGCATGCCGGCAATTCCAATCTAGGGATAGACCATGGCTTCAATGGAGCGACCTTGGATTTGGCGGCAATCAGACAGCATTGCGGATCACTTGTTTCGCTAAAAATGCGCAGGTAAATTGCGCAAGAATAAGCTACCTCACTAGCGTCCATGAAAACGTGCATTTCTGCGCCTTGATAGGTCCTTCGAGTGGCATGAGGGAAGTAGCATCTGGGAATTCGGACTTCGGCAATGTACTCGATCATTTGTACCCACCTCTGCCACTTTGCGTAGGCTTCGTCGCTGATTCGTTCGTCCCATCCAGTTCCTTCTCGCCACAGATCCTGTATCAACACCTTTCCGTGGATGACGAACGGCGAGAGCAATCCAAGAGGATCAAATAGTGTCATAACGCAGCGTAAGATCTGTCTCTTTGTCGGCCGCGTCGCTGTGCTCATCAGCGTTTGCACCTCGTCACTCATCTGGGTGGAGAAACTGAGCTCATCCGTTGACGGACTCCATAGCATACCGAGCACTCTTTCAGTTTTCGATCCATCGATCAGGTTGATCTGCTTAGCTGGTTCGTGCTGCACTTCACCTAGCTGATCCAGTACGACGCTACTGTTCGACCGCCAGTTGTGTAACTGGAATCCTCCATTGCCGTGAACGTAACGCACGTCACTCGCCACCTTCGCTGCTTCCTCTTCGGTGCTGAAACTCGCTAGGTAGTCGTCAACATAATGATCATAGATAATCGCTTTTGCTGCTTCAGGATAGAGCTCAGCGTACAATTCGGCATTCCGATTCTTGACAAATTGCGCTGATGCTGGCGAACAAGTGCTCCCGAATGTAGCGACATCCATCAGATAGATGACGGGTTCTTCTGACGGACTGGACCTCCACAGGAAGCGCTGAGAGTGTTTGTCATGTTTCAGAATTCCAACTTGGTGGAACATCTCCTGGATATCCGAACTCACTGCCACGTTGTACTGTCGGAAGTTAAATAGAATAGCCGGAAGAGAAGGTAGTTGGTCAGGTCCCTTGAGAAGAGCACTGTTCAGTGATACGCCGTCCACCTTTGCAGCGGCGTCCCAAATGATTCGAATTTTCCCCGGTTTCTTGGCGTTCATAACCGCTCCAATCGGAAGGTACCATATTCTCCTAGGATCAGCCGCATCCAACTCCTCCTTCGTAGCCTTGTGCGCGTAGCCCTTCTCTTCGTATTCTTCGATTTTTCTGTGGAGGTTCTCCTTCAGGACCGGATCACGTTCCATTCGGCGCTCGAGGCATTCTAGTCTGCGCAGAGCCATGTTATAGCTGTTAGGAAATTCGAACTCGTCTTCCTTCCATAACAGCCCCGTTTCAAAGTGATTCTCCGTTCGCCGGGTTGTAGCTTCCATTATGGTTAACGCTCGTTCATCCTCTTTCGATAACGGAACGTCCACTTGCTGCACTCCAGCTCCCTCTACGGCAAAGAACTCTTTGATGGTCTCATGAAGATCCTCATCGCAATTGCACTTGCAGGTGTGAAAGTTGTGGGATTCATTTTCGTTGTTCCGGCGTGGACCGTATACACACCAGCCCAGCCTGGTTTTTACCGCCACAGGACCAGTTCCATCGCCCTCTTTAGTCTTCAGCGGAACCGCTAAACGAAGGTTGTTGACACCAATGAGAATTTTTGGCTTTGCATTCTCGTAGCTGCTGATGGGAATATCCTTCAAATGCGCATGTTGTTTCACGGCTTCTTCCGCGCTGAAGCTTTGATACGGAAGACTGAGGCTTTGCACTGTTCTCGCGTTACTGAGCTTTTGCCGTTTAGTATGTCCCATGCCAGCAGTCTCGATAGAAATTCGCTGCGAAACCTTCTCCATCCGCGTGGTGTTACCAGTCCATCGGAGGCATAGAGGTTGTGGGCTGCCTGTAACGCCTAATGATTCAGCCAAATCACTTTCCACCAAAGTTAAGTCCGAACCCTCATCGAGGAAGGCGAAAGTGTTGATCGAACGGGTCTTTCCGTGAACAGTCACAGGGTGCTAAGTACATCGATAAGCGTATCCCATTCTAATCCAAATTCTAGTTTGACAGATAAAATGAGGTGTTCGTGGATTTTCCTATGTTTCGAGGGGTGCATCGATTGGACCTTAGGACCGAAGAGAGTACCAGAGCTGACCCAAAAAGTTGAACACGTTTCTTCGAGACCTTCTGGTCTTAGAGTTACCTCTATGGATGTACTCTGTATTGCTTCGAATAAGCTAGTTTTAGTTGGTTTCTATTTTACTGTGACTGTGGGATTCTGGCTTTCGCCGATTATCCCTCCACGAGCACATGATCATTGCGGTCGCACTGGCAGTGACGGTCGCTGAATACTGAGTGGTGGCGAAGGGCAACATTGGTGAACACCGCAAGCGGAATCATTTGTCAGCACTTTTTTAATGCATCCAGTTTACTGAAATTTGGCTGGAAGATTCTAAATAATTCATATAAACAAATGAAGCATTTGTTTTTATTTCCACCGTAAAACATTTCTGGTAGAAACAAGATTCAAACTGAACGCTTTCTTAACTGTGCGTATTTTCTTTCTCTTGCAGCTCTCGCGGCTGGTAGTACCAATTCATCAGCGCGCTCGCTTAAATCTTCGCTGTTCCCCCGTGTGCCGGCGCCCGCGCAACAATGTCCTCGCCCAGTGCCGGCAAGCGTCGGATGGACACCGATGTGATCAAGCTGATCGAAAGCAAACACGAGGTTACCATCCTGGGCGGTCTGAATGAGTTCTGTGTCAAATTCTTCGGACCTCGAGGGACACCGTACGAAGGTGGCGTGTGGAAGGTCCGTGTCCACCTGCCGGAGCACTACCCCTTCAAGTCGCCCAGCATTGGGTTCATGAACAAAATCTACCATCCCAACATCGACGAAGTGTCCGGAACGGTGTGCCTGGACGTGATCAACCAAGCGTGGACGGCACTGTACGATCTGTCCAACATCTTCGAATCGTTCTTACCGCAGCTACTGACGTACCCCAATCCGGTCGATCCGCTCAACGGGGATGCCGCCGCCATGTATCTTCACAAACCGGAGGAGTACAAGAAGAAGGTGGCCGACTACGTGCGGCGGTACGCGACCGAGGAAGCCCTCCGCGATCAGGAACCTACCGAAAGCACCGACAGCGAGTCCAGCATGTCCGATTTCAGTGAAGACGAAGCGCAGGATATGGAATTATAACAACGGCTAGCCACGATACTAACCAATTATTACTATTAAAGGTAACAAAAGCGGCAGCGGAAGGGTGAGAAAAGAAATCTTTTTACTAAAGTAAATGTTTACGCGTAGGGTCTCACACTATACATTAAACATTACACTCAAACACACACACACACGAACACTCGTACACTTCATTGAGGAACAGGAACAACACACCAACAACTCTCAACGTGCTCTCCGTGCTGTAGGGGGAGATTAAATCTATTAACATTATAGAGTAAAACTTACCAATACCAAAAACAAACAAAAAAAAAAAAGGAAAATGCCAGCAGCATGAATAACGAAACGAGTAAATATTTCGACTCATTGGTCAAATTAGAGTGTGCATCTTAGCAAGTTGAATAAAACCACTTACAGTGTGTCCTGTGAGGAGCCACCGTAAGCATACAGTTTGGCTATGTCCTTTCCTCTCTGGCCATCCCTAGTTGGGGGGAAAATAACATACGAATTTAGCTAGTTTCCCTTCGTTACGGACCACTCACTGTACTCTCATCCACACATCAATTGCTACTACACCTATACATATTACGATCCATCTCGTCGTCACGTCGTGCGCGGTTAGACTTTAAATGTGCGGTAGAATCCACTTGTTTTATCCAACCATTTACATGTACATGTACATGTTTTTTTTTTCTTTCACACAGCTGAGCTTGAGTTTAGTAGAATTTTATTTACACCTGCAACTGCAGCAGCCGATCTTTTAAAATTGTGCGTGTGGCAATAATGACATCACCCGCCTAGTTTTTTTTCCCTCGTCCCGAATGGCGCTCTAGTTTTCTCATTGAATTGTTTTTTTTTTTAAAAAGGTCATTCTCAATTATTAATAACAAATGGATGTTGTGCGCGCGGGAGCAGATTGTTTATTATTGATTAGTTATTAGTATATTATTAATATATATGATAGTAGGAAGTAAATGAAATAAGAAAAGTAATTATAACATTTGAAAAAGATGCAAAAAAAATGACTAAAACTAAAAATGTGAAAGCAAACGCGAAGGAATACAAGTGGGAAATTTTGAACAAAAAAAAATTAAGAAGAAAAATATCGAAGAAAATTTAATAACTAAAGAAACCGGTAGTGATTAAGCGATGTTTGTAATTTCGATGAATGAGAATTATTCTTTGATGAGTACATAGTAACAAAACAGAAGACCGAAAAAGTCGCATATATTTAAACAATATTAAATAAAAATTGTGACATAAATTAACCTGCAAGCCGCCGAGTCACTTTCGATGACATTTTTCCATATGTGTGTCTTCTAAAGGCTGACTAAAGTAAATTGGTACGCCCCTCGCGTGCTGCTAGGACGCCTCTAGTGTTGGGAATCGAAAATCGTTGAGAGTGGTTTGTTTACACTTCTATAGAGAACAACTGGTGCAAGTTTGATCAAAGTAGTCGATCGCGTTCAGAAATAACGTCAAATGGAACTCGAAGGAAGTAACAATATTAAGCCCAAACACCTGCAAAATCCGGAGTGGTCAGGTTTCAAGCTGGCTAAAGTACTGAAGATGCCGAAAACAAGTCTTTCGAGTCGAGAGAGAGTCGAACCGCCTTTAAAGCGAGGAGAAAAGCATTGAGGAAGCTAAAAAAACTCCCAATCGATCATCCGTCACTGGAGGAGACTGCTTTGGATTATCGCACCAAAAGAAACCAGTTCCGCCAAATCATAAAAGAGGCCAAGACAAAGAGCTGGGAGGAGTTCCTAAACTCTATCAATAGCAGTATCTCCACAACGGAACTATGGAACAGAGCAAACGCTTTAAGTGGCAAACGTAGAAACTCCGGCCTGGCTATCCGCCAGCAATCTGGGGTCACCAGGGATCCCGTTGTAGTCGCAAACGAGCTTGGCACATATTTCGCCAAGCTCAGTGCGATCGAAGGATATGACAACGAATTTCGACAAAACGTTGGAGTCCATAGCAATTCCGGATCCAGAGCCACCATCAACCATCAACCAAATGGCAAATGGAAAAGGTAAATCCGCGGGCCCAGACGACGTTGGCTACCCTCTCCTCCAACACCTCCCACCTTGTGGTAAACAGCTCCTCCTGGATATCTACAACAAAATATGGACTGAGAGAATATTCCCGACGCAATGGAAACACAGTCTGGTCGTTCCCATTCCGAAAAAGAACACACGCTCCACAGACCCACAAGGATATCGGCCAATATCGCTAACTAACTGCATCTGCAAGGTAATGGAAAGAATGGTGAACCGTCGCCTGACTGAATATCTCCGTACAAACAATCTCCTAGACAACCGGCAGCACGCCTTTCGTCAGGGTTTCGCCACACTCGGACAGGTAATCAACGATGCTCTGGAGAACAACAAACACGTAGACTTGGCTGCATTGGACCTCTCCAAAGCATACAATCGAACCTGGACACCGGAAATCTTGGCTCAGCTAGTGAAATGGATCGTCTCTGGTAACGTTCTCTTCTTCGTCCAGAACTTCCTTAGCAACAGAACATTTCAAGTGAGCGTCGGAAACACAAGATCAGGATCGTTTAGAGAGGAAACTGGGGTCCCTCAGGGCTCCGTTCTGGCCTAATAGCCATGAACGGGGTCTTCGGGTTCTTACCACGGGACATCCACATATTTGTGTTCGCGGATGATATCGTCCTTTTTGTAGTGGGTAAACGCCCGTCTATAATCCGGCGGAAACTTCAAGAGGCGGTAAACGCGGTGGACCGGTGGGCAAAATCTGTTGGCTTCGAGCTTTCGTCCAGCAAAAGCCAATTTTCACACTTCTGCAACGGAGGCCACCACGCAGGAAAGAAGCCCGTGAAAATCAACAGTATCCCAATACCTTACCACACCACAGTTCGCGTTCTTGGAGTTCATCTCGACCGGTGAATGAATTTCAACAAGCACTGCGAGATTACTAAAAAAAGAGTGCGAACCCAGAATCTCTCTTCTTAAATCCATCACCAGTCGGCATCAGGCGAATAATCGGGAAACAGCTCTAAGGGTGGCAAAGGCCATCATAAACAGTAAATTGTTATACGGTGCCGAAATCATCTGTCGAGCGGCTGACACGACAATTGACAAGCTGAGCGCCACATACAACCGCAGCATTCGAACGGTCTCAGGGCCCTTCCATGCACTCCAGCGCCCTCGGCCTGCATTGATGCTGGCTTTCTACCCTTCAAATACATCTTCATCGAGACGGTCTGCTCCAGAGCACTGAACTTTTTGGAGAGAACAGAAGGAAGTGATGAGGGAGTCTTGCTACTTGTGAGGCCAATAAACTGCTGCGCTCCCTGACCCAGCAGGAACTTCCCAAGGTATCAACAATTCATCGTATCGGGGACGAAGGATGGGACGCCGACCCTCCGCGTATTATATGGAAATTAAAGGACATCCGAAAGAAAGATCCTGGTTCCATCTCGGCTGTACAACGTTTCAGTGAGCTAGTATCTACAAAACTCAGAGGCTACCAGATAGTCTACACGGACGGCTCGAAGGCAAGCGGTAAAGTAGGGATCGGAGTCTCCGGTCCACAGCTTAACTTCAATAAAAGGCGATCTTTTCGGCCATCACGGAAGTAGATTCTACACGGAAAGCCATCGTCACTGATTCTGCCAGCGTGCTCAAGGCTTTAGAAGCGCAAAGGATTCGTCATCCGTGGGTTCAGGAAATCCGCAACGTAGCAAAACAAAATACAATTTTCGTGTGGGTACCAAGCCACAGCGGTATCCCTGGAAACGAACGGGCCGACAGTCTAGCGGCAATTGGAAGGGACTCGCTGTTTCTTACAGATGAGATACCAGCACCAGACATTAAAAACTGGGTCAACGGAGCAGTAAGGAACGCATGGTTAATTGAATGGAACCAAGAAACACGGGCTTTCCTGAGGAAAATAAAAGGAGAAATAGGCAAATGGGTCGATGTGAAGAGCTGGCGAGATCAGAGAGTTTTCTCCAGACTTCGGACTGACTACACTGGTCTAACGCATAACCTAACAAGCACGGGCAGCTTCAACACTCACTGCGATTCGTGCTCCGTCCAGCTGACGGTAGAACACGCGCTAACATCATGCCCCCTCTACCATGAAAACAGACTACTCTATGGCCTGGAAGGTAGCGTGCGGGACCTGTTATGCAACGAACCAGCCAGGGAGGCAGCACTAATCGAGTTCCTGAAAGCCAATGGACTTTACCACAAAATCTGAAAAATACCTACAATAAACCTTCAAAACAACACCCAAAAGCGACGGCAACTCACAAGATCCCCGATGAGAAACCTAATAGCAACTACTAAACAACGACAACACGGCACACAACATGATCTGAGACAACCCGGCACGAAATACGAACAGAGACGGTAACGAAATTATAACCACAACAAGTAAATCCACCCTCCCTCCCTCCACCAACCGATGACGACCCAGCAACCAAAAGGTACGCGACCATAAAATCCAAAACGCACAGCAATGATTAGTTAGTAAATGTATTGTAATTATGTCGAAACCCCAGGGGGGCCCCATTTAGGCGCCCTCTCCCATCAAAGAGACGAACCAGCCACTGACTGAAAATCTCTATAATAAAGCAAAAAAAAAAAGTCTCGAGTGCTCAAAACCTACAAGGAAATCCTGAGTGTGGAAAGGAATCAGCGGCCCTACCAAAAAAAACTGGAACCATGGATCGTCAGCTGCGAAGCAAGGTGTTGAGATGCGTTAAAGCCAACCCCGGTCTTTCGATCCGAGATGTGGCCAGAAGGTACAACGCCAACTTTCAAACTGTGCGGAACATCCTTGCCAGGGAAGGATGCAAGTCGTACAAAGCCAGTAAACATCCGAACCGGCACATGAAGCAGAATTCCGTGGCCAAAAAGTGTGCAAGGCTCTTGTACGACCGTGTTTTGACGAAAAACAAGGGCTGCACTTTGATCGATGACGAAACATACGTCAAACTCGATTTTAAGCCCGGTCAAAAGTTTTACATCGCGATTGAGCCAGATGTGTCGGGAAGATTCAAGTTCGTGTTTGCCGAGAAGTATGTGAAGAAGGCCATGATTTGGCAAGCGATTTGCATTTGTGGCCTGAAAACGGAACCATTCGTTACATCCTCGACGATGAAGTCCCAAATTTACATCGAAGAATGCCTGAAAAAGCGTGTATTGCCGTTGATCCGCAAGCACAGAGGCAAAGTCATCTTTTGGCTCGATTTGGCCAGTTGCCACTACTCCAACGTGGTTCTGAAGTGCTATGCTGTCTACAAGATCGATTTTGTCCCCAAGCTAATGAATCCTCCGAATTGCCCGGATTTTCGACCAATCGAAAAATACTGGGCAATTTCAAAGTAGTGACTTCGACAAAGCGGCGGGGCAGTCAAGGACATCCAGCAAATACTGACAAAATGGAAGAAATGCGCTGATTCTGTGTCCGTTTCCACTTTGTGGGCGCTTATGAGCTCCATCAAGAGGTAGGTTCGAGATTTCGTTCGAACTGGATAAATGTAGCTGTTGTTGTAGAACCGATTGATGAATGAATAGAAGTAGGCATTGGAATATTAGGAGTAAGGAATCATTTACAAGTTAAACGTCCAAGAGACAAGATGTAATTTGTTGCTCATAGAAGAGAAAAACTATAAATGTGAGTATATGAGTATGAAACAGCAGTCAGTTAGAGTTGAACTAAGAATCCTTTCATTATCCAGCTTGAAGCAATAAAACTGTATTCGCTTTCAAGAGTTTGTCTTCTTCGTCGCAACAAAATCTTCAAGATTTATAATCCTTTCCATGGCGATGATTCCATCTTACCGATGTGGTCGGTCGGATGATGCAGAGGAAAAAATGGTCGAATGCGAAATGTGTTTGCGCTACTACCATTTCTCTTGCGCCGGCGTTGACGCCAGTATCGAAGCAGAAGATCGGCATTTCGTTTGCTCGGTGTGCCTAGGAAGACCGCAACGTCAGATGATGCCTTCTCGTTCAAAGTCTGGAAAATCTACAACTTCAAGCGCTCGAGCAGCAAGAATCGAGCTGGATTTGCTACGACTGGAGGAGGAACGAAGAATCCAGGAAAACGCGGCCCAGGAGAAACTACGCGCTGAGCAGGAGTATCTCAAGCGGAAATATGGCTTGTTGCAGGCTCGCCTTGAGGAGCAAAATGATAACGCTAGCGATCAAACTTCGGAAACAATCGACAGCGAGCAAATCGTTCGGAGTTAGCTCGAGAATCAACCAAAGGTGCAGTTCCCTGC